CATTGCTAGAGAGTAGGAAAGGAGGTGAAATGAGACAAATTTAGAGAAGAAAATTTTTGGTCGCTACCCGGATTCGAACCCGGGACCTTTGAACGAGAGGCGAACACCTTAACCTCTAGGCCACAGAGAGCCCCCCGTAAAGGTTTTACGGCACTCGCAACTGCATAAACATACGGTCATAATATGAGCGCCAGAAGAATAGAGGTTTTACAAGAGAGTAACAAACATAAAAACGAAGAAGGGGAGATAAGGACGATATATGTTCGATAGGAAAGAAGAAGCAAACCTCACCAGAGCACCCGCCAACCACCCACGACAACTGGATCGAGTCAGGTGATATACCGTATGATGGAGAGAAAGACAGAGCACTGATTTCTGTGAGATGTGAAATGGAAAAGTTTAACGCCCTTATCAACATTATTAGGTTTATTTTAAAGGCGGGACCTTCGAGTTAAACGTCGACCCCTGAAAGGACCGAGCCAATTAAATAAGAAATTCTAGTAAAGTGCCCTTCTCAAGGACACAACGTCGGGCCGAGCTGAGGCTCGAAGCCCCGAACTCGCAATTTGTCGATGCCAGTTCAAATAAAGAGGTCACATCTTTAGCTCAGTTAGAATGGTGATGGACTACAATAATCTGGTAGCATTTTGAAACAATTTCAACTTCCTCGGAAGCATACAGTGAAGCGCTGTCATTTTAAAAGCATTCAAACACTAACAACATATTGACAAGATCTGTCACTGTCTATAATAAGCATGCCAGTCAGAAACAGATGTCCAATGATCACTTGAGTACTTTTAACCAAAATATCCAATTAAGAATATAAGTTGGAACCAGGAAGATTGGGTTGTACCTCGAGGGCATCTGTTCAGATGAAGCGCCTACTTTGACCACATTTAAAAGCGCATTTATTTAAATCCCATATATTTTATTAACTAATTTGATTCTTCTTCAGACAGCAATTAATGTGAGCTGTAGCCACAGTGGTTGTCTTTTGGTGCATGTGTTCTTCGTCAGATTACGAGTGTATAATAATAATATGTATTTGAAAGAATCGTTGTTCGTTTAATGGAAGAATGTAGGAAACTTTAATTTCAATCGTATTTTATTGTGAAGCGCCAAGAGCCGCCAGGGAG